TTGAATTCCTTAGATAGAGTCTCAGGTAACTCTCTCTTGCTTTAATATATGCTATTATAATTGAAATAAAACCATTTTTATTTTTTTAAATAAAAAGCCTGCAGCATTTATAGAGAGGAATTTACTCCTCACTTCTTTACATTCTTCACTACTCCTGACTTAAGAGACCTAATTCTACTCTCTTCTTATACTGTGTTTCCGAGGTCTGTATTTACTATCCTGGGGACCCTGAGAACCCCATATTTCAGCCTTTCATTTGCCTTCTGCTGGCAAACCCAGGAATTTTTATGAATATGATTGCAAAGCATTTTGGAAAAGAAATAATTTGTGTAACTCCATGCAAACTACAATTGTATTTAACTACAGAACAACTATCACTCCATATGAATCCAAGACTTAGACCACCTTTTGTAGATGAGCAGCCCTAACAAATTTTGTGTGCTCTCAGAAACATCTGTGACTGGTTCCATTGCCTTCAGCAACTTGGTTAGAGAAAAAAATAAACAGAAGCAGAAAGATTTGGCTAAATAATAATGATATATCAAAACACCCAATATTTTAATGAAAGAAACTGAATATCCACACATTTGCACTTCTGTACAGTTTTTGTGATATATATATAATTTTAAGCTGTTTACAAATAACATTTAATGCTTCAAATATTACATAATGTTGATATTATATTTCTAGCAGAAATAAATATATTGCACTTAAAAAGAAACTTTTCATTAGATGTTGCTTCATAGTTTATGTTCACAACTTTTTTTTTTTTTTCCATAAAAAGATTTCCCTCTACCCCCACCCCATACACACAAACACACACTTCGGTACATGGTGAATGTGCTCACGCAATGCATTATAAACAACAAAGTCAACACAGCAAACAGAAGAACTGTGGTACATTCTGTTAAAGAGGCTACATCCAGGTTTTTTACCTTCCTTATTTTTAAACCAAATCCTTCCTCATGTTTCTGAAGGTAAAGTTAAAAAAAAAAGAAAAAAAGAAAAGAAAAAAAAAAGAGAAGATTGTTTAAATGTGCTAAAGGTAAAATACAGCAAACTGTATTTTTTGTCCCTAAACTATCATAAAAAGTTACTTCAGAGCTTATTTAATTCACTGCTTAGTTTTCTCTTAAAAAGATAAAATAAAGAAAAAGGAGTTGTCATTTGATAATCGAGAGATTATATGCAAGGACGTTTGATTATAAAGTAATACATAAATCCTCTGGCCAGCAAGTAGGTGGTTAGTAAAGAAACCACAGCTGCAGCAGAAAATGCTTTATAAAGAACAGTGAGAATAAAATCTCACTAAAACCAAAATTAATCTTGCAGTGAGTGTCATCCCCCTGCAGATGAGTATATCCACTGTGGCCACAACTTCCTCAAGACAAGAAGCCATAAGTGTTACACTGATCTCACTGTTGCTTTTACCCTTATCTAGGAGTAAATTACCACAATTTATATTGACTTACACTTTTGGAAATTATTCCAAGATTTTTTCAAAAATTTTCATTGATATTTCTGTTTGTGTGTAGTACACACATATAAAGAGGAGATACTACATAATCAGCTTGCAGCCAAAATGCTTTTCAGTTAAAAAAGGTTCCTTTTCAAGTGCCAGTTAGTGTTTGCTGGATGTTGGAAATGGCATGTTGATGCAGTGTCCCAGCCTTTATGAGTAAAACTAACTGTGAGAACTTCTGCAATTGCATTCTGAAGATTGTGGTACCAAGCATGTTAGCTACCATACAACTTACCATCCTCAGACTCATGAAGAAGCATTTCCACTAGGAACTCTATCTACCTGGTCTATGCTTGTTATTCAGTTTACACCCAGAAAAGTATGACTGAAACCCAGTGGCATTGATTTGCTATCTTTGACAGTGCCTCAGGCCATATAAAGCAATACTACAAACCAAAGAGATAAATTTAAAATGGGAGGTTTTATGTTTAGATTCCCAGGGCTCCAAAAGTAGAAGAAATAAAATTCAGACAAATACATCCAAATAAGTTTTGTTAATGTATGGGGCACTTTTGTTGGATTAAAGACTGCAGGGTGTTGACAATCTATGGATAAAATGGTAATCCAGGAAAAACACAAAAGTACTTGGAACACTTCCAAGGAAATCTTACCATTTTCTTTAAAAAGTATATTCATGCATGTTCTCTCCACTCTTTATAAAAAAAGGCAAACAGCTCTCCCCCCCAAGAAAAACCCCAAACAAAATCAAACAACATAAACCAGCTCCATTTTTCTGAGCCAAGATAGAAGCTCATAAAGGTGAAGAGCACTTCTCATGGGATATAAAATGTGAAATGTATTTGGAAAATAAATTCTAGATTATACTTGGCATTCCTAGCCCATCTACCAACAACAGATGTTCTGTCCTGAAAGTGATACAATTTTGACAGCATTACAGCAAATCCTTAAATAAATTACTGGGTTATTGTCAAAGTGATGGAGATAATTTAATATTTTTTATTTTATTTGGTTTGGTTTTTTTTTTGGAAAAGTGATTTCACTCATTAACCTATTAATTACAAATTTGCACTCATTTTCTTCCAGTTGTGGGTTCAGTGCTAAAGCTCATTTTTACTTGGGTTTTAATCTTTTCAGTACTGTTCTTGTATTTTTGCTGTTATTTAAGTCATTGTTCTAACTGTCGGACTTTATTTTTAGATGACAAAGTGGAATGAAATCCTGCCCCTGTTACAGTCAAAAAATTTCCATTTGACTTCAGCTGGGCAGGAATTTTATTCCTGGAATCACTCCCATGCTTCCCTGGGCCCGTAGGAAGAGGAGAGGGACATGGAGCAGAAACCTTGTGAGGTGGCAAGACCTCTTTGGATGTCCTGTGGCCTCTGTGAACTAAATCCCTTTAACCTCAGCTCTATGCAACTGGTTTTTTAGGTAGACCTGTGAGGGCAAAGAAGAGGAAGTGAGGAATGGACAGACCAACTGATCTCATTCTGGGGGAAATCTCTCACAAGCTGCTTTCATTCCCTTGCTTGGGGCCTGCCTGTGATTCTGCATTAGTGGGGAGCCCAGTGGGTTTCTGCTGCGAAGGAATTAAGCCATCAGAGAGCATCACAAGGAAGGATGAGACCACTGAGACAGACTTGGTGTAACTGGAAAAATCAAGCTGTGGATTTTGGCAGATAATTTTGCATCATCTGTAATACAAAATTCATTGGAGAGAATTTGGATGAGGAGTTTGCTTTATCATGTTTCAATATCGAGACAGCCTACTGCCATGTTATTTCAGCTATGAATCACACTTCACTTGTAGTGGAAAGCACTTTTCTTTCATTTAATATTTTTTATAAATGAAGTTGTCAAAATCCAGTTTCAGTCTCCAGAAAGAGCCTAGAGAATTTTCTCTGAAACAGTATCAGGGGCATTTCTGCATGCCAAATATTGGTGTTCCCAGAGCAGGGACTGGGACAGGGCTAAAAGATTGTTTATTTCTCTGAATTTGCTTCATGAAGGAAGGTCATGTATGAGCAGCCTTTATGTCACATATTGACCATGCCTAAATCAGCCCACCTGTTCCAAACTTGTTTCCAGAGTCATGTGAATTTTGCCTGCTCACTTGACTCTGATGGAAGTACCAGCAGTAAAACTACTGGCTTGAATTCTGAACCTAAACACATTCCCTACAACTTCAGGTAAGTTAATGAATCTGCAGAAGGAGACAGATAAAAGAAATAAAATTTCCCCACAGGTTTTAGTGCTTGTCATCCTAGGGTCTTCATACTGCTTTAACAGAAGTCAAACAACTGAAGAGAAATCTTTCTTCCAAACCCTTTCTGTAATTACTGTCTCTGTATAGTCATGTGCACTTGAAGAATTACATTCTTGTAGGGTCAGTAGCACCTAATTTCATGAAAAATAGGGGGAGTTTATATCAAAACCAGTTATAAGTAGGCACAATCTTGCAACATGCACTTTTCCTGTGAATATGATAGCCTACAGCAAAATCTAATTATAAATAAATTTTAATTTTTATTTACATACAGAACACAGGAGCTGCAAATTGGCCCAGGTCATTTTTCATCAGCAGGTCCAACAGTGATTAATGGGGAATTAGGGTGATATTGCAGATAAAACTTGAGAAGATTTTGAATTCAGCTGCTAGAAAATATGTAATGATGTTCTTTTTCTGTGGGACACAAGTGCCTTGCCTTGCACTTTGCAGGTATGGGAGTAGGTGACTCAGTGTACTGCACTGTGCTTTTTACCATATGACACCAACGCAGAATGGTCAAAAGTAGAGGACAGTAGCAGGAAATAAGTCTGTTTTGTGTTCCAGCTCTACAGAGATCTGTAATATATGAGATTATATATGCTAGTTCTTTTTTGTCAGTAGATGTGTTATCATCTATAGCTTGGATGCAACTCGACACAGAAACTGTGTCAATTTATTATTTACAGCGGAATCCCAGCTCTTGCCACACAGAAAACCAACATCACACTGGTACTGTTTCTAGCAGTACAAAAGATTCATGCTAGCTCTCTACAGATAAGGTCATTATTTTCTTATGCCTCTATAGCTCCTCATTGCATCAGAGACAGCATACTAGAAAAACAGGACAGTACTTTGAACGAGAGCCCCAAATACTAACTGAAAAAATGTCAGACATTAATTTAAAAAAACAAATTTCATGTGAAATTCTGCACTGATATTTTCCCAAGGAAACTCCAGTAGGACATGAAAAAGCTGGTAGTGCAACCCTCATTTTCCTGGTCAAGAAACTTGTACGGTAGCAGCCATGACCAAACCAAACAAAATTGGAACAAATGGAAAGATACTCCAATGCTACTCATACCAGTCCACTAATTATAGTTCGATCCAGAGAGTCTATAGACTGATCTAGTCTGAAATTGTGTTAACTTGGTTAACACGTGCACAGGTGGAAACAAGCCTTCAGTGGCATGCACAGTAGCTAACAAGCACTGCTTTAAAATTTGAAATCTTGAGTTTCTAAGTTTAAAAGTAACAAAGAAAGAAAGAAATACTTGTTAATAACGTTCTCTTTGTGATTATAGTAGCAACTAAGAAATACTGGTTTTGGTGAATATATGCCAGTCTTAAAAAGGACAGTGGTCTTCTCCACTTTGTCCTGTTTTCAGCAAATGTATGCTGAGATAGCCTAAAACATGCTCAAAGTTATAGCAATACATTTTTTCTGTTTAGATGCTCATCAGTCACAAGAAGAGATGAAGATGAGTAAGAGTATTGCCTTTTTTAGAATTCATCTAGCATATGAAAAAAGACCTATAGACAAATAGTTTGTACATTGCTGCTTAAAGATAATCTCTTTCCACCAGGTATAATGCACCTTTGGAACAAGCTGCACGCGACCAAAGATCCTGGGAACTTTGGGATCCATTTTGGCTGTGTTACACATAGATCTGTGAGCAGCTCCAAGCTGCATGCTCTCTTCTTGTGATCCCTCAAAAGAGGAATCAATATCCACAATGCATTTTCTTAGCTGGTTTGTTATGAGTTCAGCACTCCTGCCACAGACCTTTCAGGAAGGTCCCACGTATTTTTCATAGCAAACTTGCACATGTAAAATCTCGTGTTCCTCTTGTCTTACGTCACTCATACAAACGGTGTCATCACTGCGGAAGAGTGACGCAGTCCTTGGATGGCTGCATAAGGACCCTGCTGAAAATAATGGTGGTACCTGGGCATGTGGAAGGACGGGAAAGTGGGGCCGCTGCCCTGCATGGAGCTGGCTATAGCAGAGGGTGTAAGAGGCATTCCCAGGCGGCTGTACGGAGGCAGAGATCCTTGGATCGGATGAGGAATGGGTGTAGCTATGGATGCAGTGCTGGTACCCAGGGCGCTCAAAGACTGTGGATGCTGAAATCCTGGGAAACTGGTTGAAGAGGAAACCCAGGAACTGAGGGACAGGTTATCAGATGTTGTAAAGGCTGACCCTGCAAGCAAAGAGAAAGAATACCTAACATTGGCACTGCGACACACAAAGCTGGTAAAGTAGCAAAAAGGGAGAAAATGAGTCTCTCACAATGGTTTCAATGACCAGTTGTCATTGGAAATAATTCCCAAATACATCCATCTTTAAAATGTTATATTCTGTTTGCTGTCCTTTATGACTACATCTTAGACAAATTTTGATTTTCAGAAGCTGGTTGCAGTGGTTTCAACAGTAAAATCAGCTTTCCACATTAAACATTTTAGTTATTAAACACTGAAGCACCTTGTAATGCTGCCACTAAACACTGAAATATCTACTCTGACATGGAAGCTCACTGTATTACATCCGTGTTTTGAAGAAATACTTGTAGATTTTTACTTTAGATCCTTAGAAGAACTGTTGTTTCAGGTTTTTTTCTAAAATTTTGGTGTGGCAAAAATGCAGAAAAATATAATTTGCACTACAAGTTTTCCTTTTTTTTATCCCAGTGAAACCTGTCAACACTACATCTTTCCAGTCAACCTGATTCTTTCCATAATAAAGAACTAAAAATTCTAAAAACATATATGTCAAAGTATTTGTTGTTTTTCTAACTGTGTATAATACTCTAATAAACAACACCAGTGCTAATTCATAGTAGGAGGTGCAGAACTTGCTCTGAAGATAATTATCTACTTTTGATCAAATGAAAGTGTTCTTTTTGTCATTTTGTTTTGGGTTTGTTTAATCTGAAAAGTTTCAAAAACTATTTCCACAAATCTTCCAACTCTTTAAAATACCTTTCTTTCCTGAAGATTGAAGAATCATAAGAAAAAAAAAAAAAAAGAAAAATTGTTTCTTAAAATTAAAACTAATTCCTCTTCCTCTTTAAACAATAATTTAACTCTTGTCACTTATGTATATTCTTACTTGACCAACTCTCTTACTTTAGAAAATAAATCTGTTGGCAAGAGTATTTGATGTAATATTATTTAAATTCAGTATTTCAAAACATTCTGAGACAACAAATTTTGTAACAGGTACTAGTTTCATAAATCTTATTCAAGAAGGAAGGCTCATCCAAACTGTAGAATGAAAACATATGAAGACTTCTATCCATCAATGAAAACTTATTGGAATTAAGTAAAGTAACCAATCATAGTCACATACTCAAACCAAAACTATTAGCAAAAAACAACAGAAATAAAAAGTGCATATTGGTGTTTTTGGGTTTTTTTAAATCATAAATCTCTTATGGGATATATTCTCAAATCATGAAGTATTTTCCCTCTGTTTAATGAAACAAGTAAAACAGCCCAGTAACAGGAAAAAGAAATTGTGCCAATTTAGTAGTGGAAATGAACCAAATCCTGGTCCTACCACTGAACCAAATCCTAACTGCTGAGAAATTAGGATCCAAAGCCAAACTCTAAGGATGATGCATTACTCACAGACCAGAAAACCCTTGACAAATCAGAGGGTATCTGAACATTACTGCACTACAGGGAAAGCAGGGTACAAATCTGGATTTGCAGAAGGTTTGCATTTGACTCTGGTAGCTACTATGAATGTGTGTGGATGTAGGCACAGAGAAATTATGCAATAAAGAGTTTCCATTGAATTTATATATTTCCAATATGTCAATTCCTTTGGAATTAGACATCTTGTACTGTAGGTTGGCTGCTTCCATCTTTAGATGGCTGAAATTGGCTGAGCAGAGAGTGCTCTGAGAGGGTGCTGAAGTAATTACCAACTCTGTTGCTGCTATCTATTTCTTTGTTTTATGCAGAATAAGGTATGCCATTCTTTCTCATGAATGACTGTGAAATGATTGTACAGCTGGAACACTTCTCCTCTAAGAAAAGGCTTAGAAAATTTGGGATGTGGAGTCTTGAGAAGAGCAGACTTTTGGGACACCTAATTGCAGCCTGTCAGTGCTTAAAGTGGGCCTATGAGAAAGCCAGAAGCAAATTTTTTAGCATGGTCTGTCACAACAGGAGTACGGGCTTTAAAGTAAAAGTGGATAGATTTAGACTAGATAGAAGGAAGACATTTTTTACTATGAGGGTGTTGAAACACTGGCACAGGCTGCCCAGAGAGGGGCCAGATGTCCCATCCCAGGAAATATGCAAGGTCAAGTTGGATTGGGCTCTAAGCATCCTCATTGAAGATGTCCCTTCTCATTGAAGGGGGTTTGCCCTACATAACCTTTAAAGGTCCCTTCCAACACTTATTATTCAATGATATTAATGAGGAACTTCCTCAAGCATCCTTTCCTGCTCCAACTGATTTGGTCTCTAATTGCAACTTAGTACTCCAAAAAGTCTCACATACCACTTTTGCCAGGTAATTAGTAGTTCTGAGGCAATCAAAGTCTCAAAGAGCTTATAACACACACCACCCAGCAATGTATATGTATTTGGCTCTCAACTCATGTTTTTAGGGGGGAAGAGCTATCAGGTTTGCATGCAAAGTAATTTTAAAATTAATTGGCAGAAATTAAAATATACACGGAATTTCAATAAGAACTTTGTTTCATTCCTTGTATCTTGGAGGACTTTTGCTTATTTAAGGACACTAGCCCTAAAGAGAGAGCAAATGCAGTACCAGTTACTCACGTGTAAGAACAGTGTGATTTACCCTCTATGCATGTCTCTGGTTGCCCAGAGTGCTCACATCCCATGTAGCATATGGCTCCCAGATTAGAAAAAAATTCTTTGCCATGATTCACAATTTTCCTCACTTACTCATTTGCCATATTGCAAGCAAATGCAGAACTGTACCCTTTTATTGCACATAAAGTTAATTGTCATAAAGTAGTATATCCCCCATGACACCTTTCTAAGGACTCTCTTCTCAAGAGATTTAACAGCCAGCTCTCATACTGAGGTTCACCTGGTTTGTTTTGTCACTCCCAAGGGAGGGCATCATACTAGGGAGAAATTCAATTCTAGAAGAGAAGGTGCTTCACTCTGAGCACTTCCAGCAATGGAAAATTTAATACTGTCTTCAACAATATCTGGCCCGGGATTTAAGTTGACATGAAGCAAGGTAATTCCCCAGAACTATGTGAAAGGATGGCATCATACCAGGTGAAAAGTTGCTTCAGAAACTCCATAATCTAAGGACCTGCTCTTAGAATAGATGTGTAAAAGCAAGCCCACCTAATCACATTTTGCTGAAGAGCAACCCATGGTTAAAAATAAGTGTGTTTTCCCTGTACAAGTCCAAAGAGCTCATGACCAGAAATAATGCTCTTATCTTAGCAGCACTGTATGAAGTTAGAGGACAAGACAAGGGCACTGCCAGTCGAAGACAGACAGAACTGCTTTACCTCAAGTGGCTGTGGCATATCAGGCAGGTCACAAAGTCAACATGCAAAGTGTAATGCAACACAAGTTTATGCTAGTCAGCAATCCTACAGGAAGGGTCTGAGATCTATTTCCAGTGGTACATTATGACAGAGGCAATTTCTCCAGTAAATATCCCCACAAAGAACAAGTCAGTCTTGCTACTACTTTTGCTGCTACTAACGCAGACAAATTGTTTGCTAAAGCATTTGGGGCTAATTGCTTCAGCAGGAACAGCACCTTTAAGAGACTAACAGATAACAATTAAACATCAGTTTTTCTGGGACCTAGCAAATTTTCTTCCTGAGGAGGCAAAGTGGGTTAACCACAGGCTGGCTGAAGATGATTAGAACTAAGTCCTCTGTTCACAGGAGGCTGGAGGGGCAACAAGAAGCACATCAGCATGGCACTTTACATGTGGTGTAGAGCCCAGTTAGTAAATCCTGCCAAGAGATGGGGAGTGTTAACTTGTTCTCAGCACCACAGTAATGAAGTTTCTTGGTTTGCAGACATCTTGAAGAGGATGCAGAACTAATTCTCTTCTGATGACAAAGATTACGTGGCTGTCCCTAGAACTGCCTCCCGAATTGAACCACCCACGCCAGTGCCATGGGCATATCAGATGTCCCAAAGAGCCAAAAGGTAACAAGTATTCTTCTTCATTATATGACTTCTGGCAGAGAGATACACCAGAGAAATGCTTTAGAGTACCACAGTACTGCCTGTGGTCCTGCTTTTCTCAAGCATAAATGAGTCACCACAATTTACATCAGGAGCATGTTTTCCTACCTCTGCTTTGTGTTGCCTGGCTGTCATCTCCAAGCTCATCTTCTCCTCCATAGGTCCGAATGGGTGATCGGGCATAGGAATGCTTTTGGATAAGGCTCTCCACACTTTCTCTGTGAAAGGAAACAACCTAATGTATCAATACCATCCTAAACAGCATCCTAATTTGTTAAGGTAAACACAGTGCCTTTTCCTGTCCAGATCACAGCCTTCTCACACAGGCTCTGCAAAAGACTTGCTTCATAGCATGACATTGGAAATGTCAGATTTGGCCTGTGTTTTTTTAATATTGCAGATCACTGCTTACCAGCTTCTTCAGCAGAGTGAACTTCCTATTGTGTTTCCTGGATGTGGTCTCAGACAGTGAATATCAGACCAGCACTCTTCATAAATTTGAAAATGCAAATTCTGCAGTTATTTGTGCTGAGTGATGAGTCTGGGTTCAAAGAGACACCTGTGGTCCAGCTCCTTTCAAATAAGCTTTTGCATCGCACATGACCACCTCATTTGCTGCTCTCTCCTTTTTCTGAAAGCAGGGGCAAAGATAGGTGTGTCCAGAGACAGCTCAGCTCTGACTTTGCTCTCTCAGCATCAGAGTTGGGGGCAGTTCATAGCAGGAAGTCTGCAGACACTACCGATCTCGTGCCACGTCTATTCCGGGAGGTTAGACGTGTCTGCCAGGCCCCTGCCTCTCTGGTAGCACAAAGCACTGAAGTCACCCAAACCATTTTTAAATAGAAGGAAGGCATATCTGCATGATAAGCCTTAGTAGTTTGTAAGGAAGATCCAACCTTACACATTCCAAGTGGATTTCCATGTAAGTAGGTAGCATTATACCAAAGATGAAAATGACCTAGGCACATTTCAAAATGGCTTTGACCTTCTCTTCCTGTTTAAGAAAAGTAAGTATCCATAATTGTTTAAATCTACTACTTGATGAAGGTTTTGTCTGAATTTACCATTTGTCCATTCATACTTGCTAATGCCCTTGGCTAAGTGAGTGTGCCTGTTCCAGAAATTCCAAGGAAAAATATTTTTCAAGTAACATGATAAATCACAATGGCACATGTTTTCCTTTCCTACAGAAAGTCCATTATGGTCATTTTGTCCTTGGTCTATCACTGGCATCATTACTTATGCTAGTCTCCTTAGAAAAAAATAAATAAAAAGAGGATCTTATCAAAGTGATTTACTTGTGTCAGGATTGGAAGTGGACTGAAAGCAATGGCAGTTCCTACATAGAGTATGATATAATTGGATTACTGTCTTTTAAGTGATTGAAAACAGTAGGCATATCAGGGCTATCTGGAAGAAGATTTTCCAAAGAAAAAGACAGATGGCATTGTTTACATTATGTGCTGAATGCCTTTTGAAACATTAGGCTTTCTTCTGAAGCAGAATGTGACATGCAAAAAATTTTACTTGCCCAAAATGACTATTTCATATGAGTACAGCATAACAGAATAACAAATTAGGCCAGTGTTTTCTGAGTGATTTAGAAACTGGTATATAAACATATTCATAATTAAAGAATTACTAGTCTATCAAGGTCTGAAAAATAAATTTAATACAGGTGATTGTCTGTATTTATTTCTAGTAAGGGTCTGCTTATAATGGCAGAGATTACAGCATGTAATAATATCCTGATGCAACAGAAACAATGCAGGCTTTAGTTGTAGTGCAGTGGGCCAATTTCACCTCTAAAACATTGGATCCAATGGCAGCTTGGGGATAAACTCACCCCAATAAATTTACATTTGAATTACCTACAGGGATTTAAAGCTAAATCAAATGCCCACAATTATTGCAGACTAAATTCTTTCCAGATGGGTTTGTATGCTAGACAGAGAACTCTATTATTCTATATGGTTGTCTTCTCTTAAAGGAAAAAGAGAGATGACTTCTTAGTGAACCCTGAATCTGCAAAGTTTGAAACCAGGGAACTATGTGGTAGGTTTATTTATTTATTTTATGATGTAGTGTTGCAGATAGTATGCAAAAGGTTTTGGAAGATAAATCTCATTCATCAGCACAAGAGGCAAAGGTTTTTATGGCAGAGGGAATGTGGAAACTTGCATCAGGGGAAAGCAACTAATCTCAAACAGTTTTGTGCAGTGGAGATTAAATATTCAGATCTGTATGAGCTTATCTTGACTAACCACGTTGGTTGTTTATGCTATAATCACAAAACACCTACTGAATTTTCATTTTAGAGGTTGAGGCTGTGACTCTTATCATGAGTGCAAAGCACTGAGACTCACACCAGAATTTAGGCACCTGCCCCCACAGGCTTCAGGTGGCCCCTCTTCTTTCCACATACTACACAAGCTGCATAGAAACCTCCAAATAGACCTACAAAACACAAAAGGCTGGGCACACCTAAGTGTGCAAAAGGAAACAGGAAAAAAAAAATGAAGTGGTGTATTTTCTCCACTCATAAAGCATATCTCTGAGTTATCCTCCAAGCACTGTTTCTTCCACTTAGAAAAACAAGAGCAGAAGTCTGCACTTAGGTTTCTTTCCTTCCCCTCATGTTTCAAAGGAAAGGGTGTGGTGGCCTCTGCACCATGCTGCAATATTCCATCCTCAGAGAACCTCACTTGGAGTCTGGATAGAGAAGACAGCAGTTGCAACTCATTTAATCTATGAAAACTTTTGAAGTTTCCTACACAAGTTGGAAAGAGGAGACTATCCTCCTCCACCCCTTAAAGACAGAAGTGCCTTAGGACTTTCTCCAATGCAGATACATAGGAGGAAGCAAAGCCTTACCAACAAGACTTAAGTGCCTGTGAAATCTAGTTCAAAATGCAGGAACAAAGCTGCAAATCTGGAATACAGATTCCTTCTTATGTCCTTGTTTCCACTGGACACAAAAGGACTTAAAATCTTTCTGAAAATTCTCTTTATGGAACCATGAACCCTTTAAGTTATCACAAATATGGTGCTCTGGAGAGTGGATTAATAAAATACATTTTTTCAAGTCTCAAAATATTACTAAAAGGGAAATACAGTATTACCCCTGGCTTTAGAGTTATGTATGCAACATCAAATATTTCAATGTGGTCCAAAGGATTGATGGAAATAATTGATCAAGTACTAAATGATAAGTTAATGTTTGCCACTTTATGATTCTATGCTCATAATTTCAAAAAATTAGCAAGTGAAGACTGTGGTAGAGGTTTTTTTAAAGCTGTCTTTGCATATTTTTCAGCACTGTTCCACAGTAAACAATCTGGAAAACAGAGTGACTTCCAGTTACTCAACTTCTGTCCTTCTGTTTCTTTCTTTGTGATCAGAAACTTGTTATCTAATACTGGGACCCAACAATTTTTACCTTTTAATGTGTCTTAGAGCTCCACAATTTCTTCTATTAACAAGAAATTAGCATTAAACTTTGTTCTGAGAGAGATCACAAGCTGCCAGTTGAATAAAGGAAAGATATCTGCTCTCTGTCAAATATTTTTGTGTGGTCTACCAACAAGTTTCAGTCTTCCACACTGTTCTTCAACTCACAGATGTCTTGGAAATACCCAGAGGAGGGGGAAAAGCATGCACATACACACAACATATTACTATGATTAAGCTGTGCAATGTGTAGAACTGGATAATAGTAGGAGATGCAGATTAGAGAAGAGCAAGTTAGGGACTGAAGCCGCATGAGAAGAAGGATCCATGTGTCAAATGGAAAGGAAAAATCTAAGCTTGTATTGGCAAGCACACCCACAGAGAAGATGCTGAGGAAGGACAAATTTGAAGAGAGATAATAGGAAAAGGAGCTTGAGTTGATCCCAATAATCTGCATTCCAACAGAAGCACACTTTGAGCCCAGCCCTGTCAATAAACCTTATTATGAATGAAGCACTTGTCTCCTTTGTCTAAAAAATTAAACAGCAAAATTTGAACCTGAAATCAAAGTATGTGAAAGGCTGAGAGAATTAATCAATTAGAAAGGGTTTAGGGTGCACAGGAAACATCTTGGTATTCTGCAGGTTCTAACCTCTTGTTTAAACATTTCACTCTTGTTTCTGCTGGCAACCAATTCCAAAACTAAACTTCTGGCTAGGGATGCTTTATGTCATGCAGTTCCAAGCTGAGTCTTTGGCCTTGTTTAACTGACAGTGCCCTCTATGTACAGAGTAGCCTTATATGAGCAATAAGAAGATGGGAAAATCCTGATGTACCTGACAAATGATTCACTATCCAAGATTTGCCATGGATCTGAACTAGGAGATGGCAGAAAAACTTCAGCTTTGCATGCACAGCAGCCTGGTGATCACCACGACCCTGATTCTGAATTTGGCAGAAAGGAGATGAAGATGGGAAGCCTACCTTCTCCCTTTGAGACAAGAATGCTTAAGACATATTTAGTGTTGGTGAAGGTGTCAGAAAAGCTGATTCAGAAGTAGCTTTCTGGAACCAAGGCATACCTATCTTAAATCTATACCATGGCTACAAAGAAGATGAAGTTTGATGTAAGGAGCAGCTGTCCCTTCCAAGTGGGAGCCAGGTTCAATCTTCTTTGAAGACAATGCGCTAAAGTCAACGGGCTGTGAGAAAGAGCTAGTGGCTGAGCCAGGCATTCTGAACTAGTGTCTTCTGCACAAGTTTCTGTTTCAGGAATGGCTACAAGAGGTACAAATTTCAGAGCAGGGCTATTAACCTCTATTTTTTTTCACTCCTTGCTATCCAAGTGTTAGGTATGCAAAAAGGTAAGGATATTCCTAGAATCTGCTCCCTGCTCCTGGTGTTGTGGAATTTGCTTTTTTGACTTTTTCTTGCTCTTTGCAAGAAAAGGCAATAACAATTTAAAACAAAAAAAAAAAAAAGAAAAAGAAAGAAAATAATAAAATAGTAAAACTGACAATTGTGTTTTGCTTGGCCATTCAGTCCAACAGAAAGAAAAATAAAGAACAGGATATAAAGTGTATGAATTATCAGTTTGCAGCCTGAATGACTTCTTTAGTTCTGCATTTCAAAGGTTTCCTTTTTTTGTAGCTGCCAGTCAGTATGTTTGGAAGAAAGCCCAGATAACAGAAGACGTCAGAAGTGAGGTGAGGTGAAGACAGATGGAATAAATGGACTGAGAAGGCACAAAAATAAACTTGTCGGAAGT